TTGACTTCCTCCTCGCGACGTAGCATCGCACTTAAAACCGTACTATATCTTACGCGCCTGCGTCTATCACGTCTCCTGGAATTCAGGCCGCAGTGGCTTCTTCTCTCGCGTATAAGATCCGAATAACACTTACGTGTGTGGCTCGCTAGACAGACTGGTAGAATTTGGCGGCCACTGCGCCCGAGTCCACGTCTGGCCGTTTTTGCACTGTTTGGCATTCGAAGCCGGGTGAGGGGTGAGGAAGGAGGGAGCAAGTTTGGTAGATGCTACGTAAGCCTGACCTACTGCAAACCAATGCATACGCAAGTCACCACGCAGCGGAGGGCTCTGCGTTTGCTACGATCGAACTGTCATCTAAAATGTATCCACTGACCGCGACCCGCTGGGCCACTGAGTTTGAATCTCGTACGCGCTAACGCCTGAGATTAGGCTATCGCCAGCTGACCAGACCGCCAGAAATGGCCATTCCGTTGTCGTGCATCTTTGTCAGTGCATCCGACTTTCTTCTACGCATATCACTTCTGCTGATTTGGGTCTACAGACCCTGACTACATTTGTGTTTTGGGGGCAAACGTGGTGGGCGCCAGGCGCGCGTCAGGCGAGATGTTATTATTGACAGAAAGACATTACCGAAGAAGACTGGAAGGGTCAGTTCTAGCCGTCATCAGACAGACGTACTAAACCCCAGGATTTTGCAGTGCCTCTGAGGCTCGAATCAGCGACCCATTGGTTAGAATATCAACGTCCTAACCACGCTCTCAATGTCCTGTGGGTTTCTGTGGGTAGTAGGGCGCTCACATTACGGAATACGCTCGTCCAGTTGTGCTTCAAACTCGAGCCGCTAGCTGACGACGGCTAATAAGCCGGAAATGAGCATTTTATTTCCCCCTGTAATTGCTACCTATAATATACTAGCTGCTGGAAAACGGCTGACTGGGAGACCGGAGAATGGGCTACGAGGCCCGACTGAACGAGTGTGTTCCGTAATGCGATTGGTGAACGCCTCACTACTACTA